CAGTATGATGATAAAAACAGGCATGAGTGACTTCATAGGGCCAACAGCTGGTCACATTTAAGTATCAGATTACAATAAGGATATAAATCTAGAATAGCATTGATCATTGCACATGCACACAAAAACATTAATTTTATCAAAGTAGATGTAGCAGGTTTGAGTGCCTTTTTTATGTGACTTTGAAATATTGGACATAATGAATTATTAATTTCCTTATAAAAGTAGTTTCATCCTTGAACTTTTGCCTCTTAGTAAACATGTCTGAAAATGCTAGTCCCTCCCCCTCCACAAAAAATTGGATGCCTCTCTCTACTTCACTGCCAAGTAGTTAGTATAATTTCCGTGCTAAAGGTAATAAAAGCAGTCAGTTTAGACTCTATCGGTCTTCTTAATACCATGAGGTGAAACCCTTCTCCCAGTAAGAAGATATCCAGTTTGATTTTCAGCAAGAGTCAGAGATTAACCATCTTTAGGACATTGATATCAAGAAGAAATAAAAAGTGGACACCACCCTGCATGATTCAATCAACTGGCCCACTTCTGAGCTGCAACAACAATAACAACAACAGTCACCAAACACCTTTTCAAGCCACTATGATGATCACCAGATGTACAAAGAAGTTGGTGGAAGAACCACACACCTACAATTATATGCCCAACCATATGGTGACCATGCTACATAATATATTATAACAATGCTATATCAAAAAAATATAGTTGAAAAACCTGTTCTTCCATTTGTGATTTTAAGCCAGTTATGTAGAAAGCCATGACTTTGAATTGATGAATTATGCTTATTTGAAAATCATCACTATCATATTTTAACTGTTGGTGGGAATAGGGAATTGCACAAAAGATTTCAAGTTCCCATATTTTGGTGGAAATCAAAAATTTTTTTGATTGGATTTTGATTGCAGCATTAAATACAAGCATAACCTTGAACTATGTTTAGAGAGAACATCCTTGATAAGTTACCATTCATGGCTCCCTGGTTGTCATTGCTTGTATTGTACAATGCAATAAGATTTTTTTGTAGTACAACAAGATTATTTTTTTGAATCTTGATTTTTCCAGAGACTGGAAAAATGTTATAACTTTGCTTCCTGGCTAAGAAATTTTCAGCTAGATTGTCTAAATTATATGGTTAAGCATAAAGATTCAGTTTAGTTAATGTGAAGGACGCAAAGTAAAGGTCCAGGTTAGCATTATACTTACATTATAAATTAAACTCCTTGCTAAAAATTTAGTTTGGGAATTTAAAAAAATAATATGCTAAAAACTTGGAGTTTTATTATTAACCGTAGAAAATGAAGTGGCCATTGTTCTAGCTAGCTTTGAGTTATATGATGAAAGGTAAAAAAGATTAAATTAGTATTTAGTGATAATATATTTTCACATGTGTAATAGTTCACATTAATGTTAGCAATGCTTCATAGAATAATAATAATAATAGAATGAATGGCCAAATGAGGAATTCAGAAATCTGAACCACAAAAAAAAAATTGATAACACGGCATATGGTAGTACACCCAAGAAACAATGTTGTCAGTCTGTTTGTTAACAGGAGAGGACTAGTCAGCATTGAGGGTTGCATTAACTCTGCAATCAAGGTATGTGAAGATGGACACAGGAGAGGCCAGGAAGTAAGATTACTTACAGCAGCCAAAACTGCAATAAAACACACACAATGAAGAACAGAAATCCAGGAACTGCAGCACTGAGAACTTTAAGTGGGAAGAAAAAGATCTATATGAACATTTCCAAAGGAAAACCAGGGTTTACTATACTGTCAAACTAGGAAATGGGGAAATTGGAGAATTGAAAGAATAATCACTTTTAAAGAAAAAATCTGTATGACTGGAAAATTGTCACATGATTTGATGATAAATAAATAGATGCATGCTAGTTTGCTGCCATTATGTATTTTGAATTAAATGTGTGGAAGAAACCAGCATGTATACAATAAAAATATTATTTTGAAAAAATTATCTAGAAAAAAATGAAACTAAGTGCACAAAAAGGAGACCTCCATACTTTTTTTTTTTCATTTCAATAAATATGAATCTCCTCTAAGCAGACGATTGCTATTTGTTTTTTTATGATCATCTTCTTTGAAAATTATATCATAAATACTAAAATTGGTATAAATTGTTACCCCAGGACTACTATTACTTCATTGGAAAGGCCTTTCATAAGATATCATTTGGCAATTCCATTCTGAAAAAAAATTAAACTTTTTCCTGCAGGGTAATGTTTGCATTAAAGGGGTGTTTCAAATTAAAGCTAGATTATTGTACTCCAACAATGATAGGCCCCCTATGTTATTCTGGTATTATTAATTTATTGTTCATTCTGAAAGTCTGTTGTTTGATAATTTAATGTCTATCATTGAATTTCCAGCTGAATTTCATTAAGAAAATAATGTAAAACAGCAAATTTTTTCACAAATTCTGAAAACCTTTCCATTTATTAATTTATTATTGTATTTGATCTAAGTAATATTGTACAACATGTAGTAGAAATATCTTCCACACAATGGTAAGACATTAGCTACAGGGTAAATACCTCCCACATTTTAAGCTATCACCTGTGTGGAGCTAGTGAACTTAGGCAAGTAGCAATAGTATCTTTATCTTGCTAATGTCTTACCATTGTGTGGGAGGTATCTCCGCTGCACTCTGTGTAATGGGAATAATAGTAATTATTATAATAACTTCTATTGTAAATACAAATTAAAATATGTGTAATTAATAATAAAATTGATAATATTAATCATCATTTTGTATCATGAACTGCTTTTAAAAGGTACACAATGGGTTTATGGGTGGTCTGGTAAAATTTCAATTTAATATCCACTTCACAACAATAAATACAATGATCCCAATTTTATTATATTGTCTTATTTGCGGAGAAATAACTAATCTAGATTTACCTTTACTTGTACTGGTGGCTTCATCCACTTCCTGTTCTTTTTTAATTAATTTTTAATATTTCTTAAATTTTCTTATTGGGGGAGGGCAAATTCAACTCACCAATGATATGTTTTGATGGTAGATTTCCATGTTATAAAGTACTTGTAATGAAGAGTGATGCTCAGTGCCATGAAAAATCTGTTTTTCCTTCTAATTCAATTTTGAATATGGTATGAATATTTATAATCTGTCAGTTTATGTCAATCAATGAATGCAATAACATGAAAAACTCACTAAAAATAAGTTTTTGCTATTCGTTGGAGTTTGGTTATCTATTGGTTCAGTAACTTTTTTTTCCAGCACAGGTGTAGATTTTAGTAATTACACAGAATCATACAATACAGATAAAAATATACAATTATAGATATAAAAAGATGTGAAGGGAAAAATACATTTATAAATAAATGATGATTGCTGATATATGTACATATAGAAACTTAAAAAATTAGATAAAAAATAATTAAATTCAGTATTCAAAGATTAATGTTTTTCATTAAGTATCTCAAACTTGATAATGCAAGAAGAAATTCTTAAATATGAATGCATGTTTTAACTTCTTCTAAAACATTATTCATAGAAGAGGCAGTTTTATTGCAGATAAGCTCCTATATAATGATTATATAGTGTAAATAATTTTTGTCTTCTATGCATTCTTAATCAAATACTAAATATATATTTTTTTTAATATTTCTCTCTTTCTCTTTAAGTGAATTTGATATTTGCTACATCTTGGTTAACAGTGACCCAGACCACATTCAACTTCAAATTTTATATATTGACTTCCATCCATGTCCTGTACAATGTCCACATAAGTATTATTACTTAGAGTAAAATGCAAACATATGTTCATTAAAACAACAAAAAACAAAAAATGTCCCATCCCATGTATTTTCTCTCCCCTGTTTTTTTCAACTGGAAGCCACCAAATATTCCCAAATGTTAACTTTCTTTCACTCCATTGATAACTTTCTTTATTGATCTTTTTCTTTTTTCTTTTCTTCCTTTTTTCTTAAAACTTATTCCTTTCCAATCATCACATGAAACTAATTGAAGAGATCGTATTATCATAGTCTAGGATTTCAGAATTTAATATTTTACCCATTGACTCGTGGCCCTTTATTTTTCACAAAAAACAAATATTCCTCAATTTTCAGAACAAATAATTGAATTTATCATGTTTGCTTATATCTAGTATTAACACAAGACACTTTCAATATAGGACAATAAAAAATAAAAATAAAAACTTAAATTTTAATAATATATTGCATGTTTCAAAAGAAATGCTTGCTTTTATTGTCATTTATTTTGCATTTGAAAATGTTATAAAATTATATTTTTACACTTTTTTCATTATGAATCATTCTGGGATGCTTTGTCTCTGAAAAAAGATATTAAAGTATTAGAGAACAAACCTAATTTTGAATCATTATGATTTTTGATTCCCCTTTTTGATGAATCTAAAATACCAACATTATTGTTTTCTATTTGCCAATGTGATTTATTTTGATGTCATTCTCTTCAGCAATTCATTGGTCAATGTTAGAGGCCAAGTTTCTTCTATCTTCAAGACGAGGGATTATTATTTTTTCAATTGACTGTTTGCTAATAGTAATATTTTCTGAAATTATACAGAGAGTCAGTTACATTTGCTTTTTACTAAGTAATGTGGAAAATATAAAAAAAACAAAAGGAAAAATAGAATAACATTGCATACAAACAGCAAGAATGAGGTAAGGTAAGCCTCACTAATGAAATTGTGTGTAAAATTGGCTGTAAACTTGTATAATTGTACATTTCTGCTGGAATTTGAGAATAAGCTTTTGATTTCTATATCTAAGGAGATATACATTTGAAAGAATAAGTGGTTTGTTGTATTGAGTTCAGTTGATGAGAATATTGGTGTTTCATTGATTCCACCATAATAGCTAACAACATAGACCAAACCCATTGTGCCTGGGGGTGAGTAACTTGATAACATTTCTTTGCTTTACTGGTGACTCATGTTTGTTAATTTTTTTTTTTTTTAAGGTTTATGAAAGAGCTGATACCGGAGACATTTATTCTGGATGATATCCAAGAAAGCAAGGAACCATGTGGAAACGTCATAGCACTCAAGGTGTGTAAATGTTCTTATTAATTTGATCAGTTAAGTCATAATGTAAGAAAGTTTTTTTGGGGGGGGGGGTTCAAAAAGCATGTTATAAGAAAATGATGCAAATATTTTGATATTTCTTTACAGAAAAATAAACTTTTTATATAAAAACCTGAATGAATTGCAATTATTTCAAAGTACTAGATTGAAGACTACATCAGTTTGAAAATGGCCTTCTTTGAGAGACATGAATCCTGTCAAAATATACGGTAAAATTTGGTTGGAAGATTGAAGGCATTATTAATGCTTTGAGAAAAGTTTATGGAGATAATTCCCAGTAAAGAGAAAAAAAAATTGGCAATTTACAAATGAATAAATCATTTCAAAGAAAAAATAAGCATAAGTCGAAGATGGATGAATTGACAGACCATCAGCATCAGTTTGTGAGGAAAAAGTCTATGCTGTTTGAAATTTAATTGAGGGTGACCATTAACAGTAGAAATAACTAACACCCAAGACATATCAATTGGTTCAGCCCATGCAATTTTATCCAAAAAATTAAAGTTTAGTATGGCATTGCCAATATAAGCCGCTTGGATGAACCAGAATTTGTTGAGACTTGGATCCGATGTTTTGCAGCTCAGGCTAGGGCTGAAAAATTGAAAGACAACCAGGAAGATGGGGAAAAAATCAAATAACTCACCTCTTTCAAGCTTCAGCAGGTTGTGAAGTTATAATGAAAATTTCTGTTATGGTATACCCCAAACAATTGAAGAATTTGACATTCATTGAAATTTTAGAAACTATAACAAGAAGTTGATTATTGATCATAGAACAGCGCAGTATAACATTGAGAAAATTTTCTACTTATTGGGCACCAAAACCATTGTACCTAGATTAGCAACAAAGAGTAGAGCCTATAATGACTTGTCCATAGCAAATCTTCAACAGCATGCTCTATGAGTCCCTGCATTCTCAGCAGTTTCAGGCATACTTTTTAGAAATGGATACTTTGTCCCCCAGTTAAGCACTTTTATGAGGGACTCTGTTGTGATGATAAAGCTGTGCCCTGGCTGAGTGTTGACCTTTTGTTGAATGTTTGGGAAGGATAAACAAGGATTTGTCCTTTATGAACTTTTAAACAATAACCAGTGAATAAAAAAAAAAAAATGGCGCTATATCTTTATCTAAATACTGTTTGAATGACCAAAGATATTAAGAGAGGAGATTAGATGTGGGGAAAAATAATTAATCCAACATACCCTCCTGACTTTGCTTCTGCTGTCATTTATTCAGGAGTTTGCAAAATCATTTTGATGGGCAAAAACTTATTTCAGGAAATATGCTTTAGTCCTTTATTTCAGTACAAAATTGAAGGAATAGTCAAAAATTATATTCAAAGATGAAATAAGGTTATTGAAAGAGAAGAAGAGTATGTGAATGATTAAGTCTAGATTTCATCATGACTATATTTGTGTTTTCAAATAAATTAAAACATTGGACAACTTTTTTTATATATAAATATGCAGAGTTCATAATGAAAATCCCAGTTATTTAAAAAATCACTACAGAAAGCTACCTGTATTTTCAAACAAATATTATTCCTTGAACCAACAAGAATAGATCTTAACACTTTTAAATATAGGAAAAAAAGCTTTCTATTCAATTATTAACTTCATCTATTCCTAAAGAAAATTATATTTCTTATTTTTTAGTATTTCTTAGTATGTCAGGGAAGTGTAAATGTGATGTTATGGCAGTGTTTCTCAACCTTTTTAAGCAATGGCACACCTAAGAGCAAATGAAAATGTCATGACACATTTAGCAAAATTTTTAAATGTTAAGAAATAAAAACATTGATTTAAAAAAAAACAAAACTGATAAACACATAAATATGAACTTACTTTATTTCAGTGTTTCCATTCAACTATTTGTGTAGTTTATTTAGTAAAATACTAATGTTGTACCTTTACTACTTCCTCACACATGCACACGTGCACACATCTATGTATGCTGTGACAATATTTTGCGGCACAGTTAAGAGGATAGCTAGCACATCAGTGTGTTGCAGCATGGCGGTTGTTAATCACTGTGTTATGACATAAAGGAAAAATATTGGTATGGATGGGTCAATGATTGTGACTAGCTAGATTATAGCTAGGATGAGTGATGACTGGCCTCCCCACTTCCATATTTTGGCCTTGTGTCACATATGTATATATTCATATAATAAATAGTCATAGTGACAAGTTCTCCATGATACAGAAAACAGAAAAAAAAACATGGAAATAAAATAGAACATGGAAAACAAAAATCACGGAAAACTGGATTTTTGCTACTAAAAAAATTAAATATTCTGATGGTAAAACAGATAATTTCTGAGCTGGAATTTGACAGAATCTTCTTTTTTTTTTTTTTTTTTTTTTGCATAAATTTGCAGTACACAGCAAAGTTGGTCACTTATGTGCAAGTGCTATGACCTATATTGTTGCAAGATGTCATTCTATAAATAACATGGGGTCATAACCTAATTCATGATAACCTAGCCAAACTGGTCACTGCAGGTCAAATGCCCACGTGCAATATTAGCATATGAATAGTGTGACATGTGCCGTCAAGTGTAGTAAAAATAAAAGTTATTTGTTTAGTAATTAAATTAGATTTTTAGATGTCAGTTTGATTGTCTTTCACGATGAGTAAACAAAAAAGGTAGCAAACTGGGTGGGTGCACACTTTTGGCAAACTACAGAGCTGAAGAGCTAGCTTTCTGTGATTATTTTTATCATGATGGTGATAAATTATTTTGCAGTTTTTGTCAATGCACTGTAGATTAAACTCAGAGGGACACATTTGTGGATCATCAGAAATTGCTGAAGCACATAAAAATAAATATGCCTAAAAGTAGGATATATATTTGTATATTTTACTGTTTACACACAAGTCTGTTTACTCACACAAGTCTGTTTACTCACACATTTTTATGATTTTGAAACAAAAATGGAAAATTGTAATTTAGAACAAGGAAGACCTGCCACACTACAATAAATAATCATCCTTGTTTTTTTTGTTAACATTGACACCAATGTCTACCAGCTTAGAGATTGATAAGTTTTGCTAAAGAAAATGGTGCCTACTGACACATTTTGTAATTGTATATATTTGCAAATATGCTTCAGTAATGAGAGAATCCAAGTTATATTTTTATAACGAAAATGGAAATCATTTGAATTAATATCTTGCTTCCCATTCACAAATTCCCTATAAAGATTTAGAACATCTGTTAATATTTTCAAGTACCAGAATGTTCAAATGACTGAAGCATAGAGACAAATAAACAGGATTCTGATCTGTTGTAACTTGTACACAAATGAATCACCACTTAAAGTAGTAAATCTGATCTTGATTACTGATTGTAGAAAGACAGTAGATAAGAGAAGGAAAAAATGTTGGCGGATTTTAAGTGTTCAGTCAGTGCTTCCCTACAGATAGATAATCTGTAGTAAAAATCAGATTTTACCTAAAAATAGCTTTTTCAAAATTACTTTCACCTAGATTTTAAAATTGTCTGATCATTTTCTCATTTTCTTTTTAATCAAATGCTGTTGAAACATAAAAGAAATTCTAAAACAGTGCTATTCAAAAATTGATGCTTTGCAGACAGGTGCTGGTACATAAACCATCAGCTACCGGTATGGAGCCAGTGTCCAGGCCATGCTAAAGAAACTTTTGAAGTTTATTTTTTTATTACTTTTTATATGTTTTAATACTGAATTATTTTTTGCAAAATAAATGGAAGATAAAAAAATAGTCAACTTTTATTATATTCATTATATATATTGTTTCTGGTATAAATTAATATTACCACAAAATATTACATGTACATGACACATTGAGAAAGAAAATGCCAGGTTAGCGATATCAGATAGTTTGAGAAGCATTGTTCTAAAGTTCATTCTCTCATATTCACCATTCCTGGAATTTTCTCTGTATTTTTTTATTATTATTATTAAAAACCATAGTAAATAATATTGTATGAGCAAATTGAAAGTTCCTGACTATAAAAACATTACCAGGCAATATTTTAGTATTTTATTTACATGGTTTTAGAAAAAGCTTTTGATGACTTGAATAATAATTTCTTCCTTGATTGAGCAAAGAGTTGAAACCATTGCTGTCCCAAGTAGAAATAAGCTTGGTTGCTTTTGACTGACTACCATTTTAGGTTATTTAGTCAACTATAAAGTGGGTGGAGCCTGTGAAAGTGTTTTTGGCATTTTTCTATGTCATGATAATAGCAACCACCTGTTGTATTAATTAAGAGATGTTATATCATTGATAATGCATCTCAAAGGCATAACCTGTCTAATTGCATGGAAAATGGAATCTGCAAAGAGAGTTCAAACTCTAGCAGGAACAGTTGACATTCAGTTTGCACTAATGCCTTTGTAAAAAGTATACATGCACTCTTCTTTCCCAGCAGTGAATAAATAGTGAGAGCCGTTTGGCCTTGGAATGTTTGATAATGTCAGGTCAGGGATTATTTCTTTCTGCTCTAGCTACTGGGTAACTGGGTTTATGTTAAGATCATAACCCCAAATTACATCCCATCCTCAGGCTCTGTTGTTAGTTAACTGACAAAATATTAAAAGTTAAAAATACTTTTGCAAGATAAAATAAAAATGTGTTTTTTTTTTTTTTTTTTTCCAGGTCACTTATTTTAAATGAAGTAACATTATGTAATATAAAAAAAATATCAACTTTAAACCCAGATCCAGGAAAATGGACGAGAGATAAATTTTCAACTCTTTCATTATTATTATATATTGCCTTTGCTTTGTTTATGAACTGTGACCCACCACCCAAGTCTTAATGAGAGACAACAAGTTTTTTTTTTTTTTTTTTTTTTTTTATAAATCAAAATATGCAAGCAGATGTGGTTATTGCATGGAGAGAATTCTATGCAAAATGTGAAAAGTATCCATAAGTATATTTTTTGCAATTTGCATATTTGTCAAACTGTCCAT